CTCGTTAAAATTCAGCGCTGGAATTTCGTAAGCTGTTGTGTGGATCAGAGAGCGCGCCAGCAATCTGATGCATATGTTTTACACATACTTCTCACCTTCTGTTAGGACTATGCGGAAGCATTATGCTGCTTTGCTGTTCCCAGGTTAACGACATGCTAACCATCTCTCCACCATTTTGTAAGTGAAGTAAATTCCTTGCTCAGATAAATTTGCGATCGAAAAAATTTTTGCCGCATTTCAACCAATACGGCTACTTCATTTATTAGTATATAACTCCTCCAAAATCAGATTTTACGGCACGATGCTCTAACCCAGCGCTCATAGTTCTTAGGAAATCTTAAAAGTTCACCTGCATTGCCAGGCACATGTCGCTTCATTCAGTTCGTTAACTGCTTCGTGTTCATTAGCAACGAATCTTCAGTATCTGGAACTCCTTATATGCTACTACATATTAAAGCGCAAGTCAGAGAATGTCAATCAACGTATAGATTCTTTAAAACAAGATTTCACGGAAACTCTTGGTCATTGTTGCCTAGTTGGCAATTTAAATAGGTCACAGCTCCATGGTTCATTTACACAGTAATCGTTCTAGCGCTTTTACTAGACCATTTATTCACCACAGATTAGGGACAATTGGATCATTTCTAGTAAATGATATGCGATCCATATTCATCACTTTCATAAATAACTGACGTATTTAAAGTGATATTCACAATGCGTCGTAAAATGAAGTTTCAGTGAGATTTAAATCCTAATTTTGTCACATATCTCTTACCGCATGCACATATATTTTGTCTATTGTTGAATCACTCAAGTAATTACTGAAATGGTGCGTGACTACTGTTCAGTCTGAAGAAAATCTACAGTTAGTAGTGGTAGATAAAGAATACCTTATGTAAAAACATATATTCTGGTTGAAAGATTCGCCGGAAAGGGCTTTCAAATAAATGGTGAATTAGCGGTTTGTCTGAGGAGAAAAATTTGTATCTTAACACCCGAACATCAATATGAGCCAACTGTATACAGCAGGCAGCGACGGCTAAGTGCTTGCAGGACAGTAAGTCATCTTTCTTCATGAACCTGAACGATGAAAAGAAAAGAGAGGTATAATTGTCTTGCATTGTGTTGAGTGCTTCGTCTTCGAACTTGCTCTAATGAT